GCTTTATCAGGGTCATGTGCTCTACAGACGGACTAACATACCAAACTCAATTCGGGATTTTCTGTCTTAGCTTCTCCCTCTACCACATTTGGATGCACCTCCTGTATTCAAGCATTCGAACGGTGCCTTCATTATTATTTTCCCCCCAAATACAGTATACATTTGCTCTCAGATTTTCTGCCTAATTAAATCTGTATTTTTCATAGTCTAGCGATAATCATTTCCAGCTATCACATGGCTATCACTGAATATGATATGGTGATAACTCCTGAACCACATGGAAAAGAAAGGCAGTTATTTTGTCTTGTGAAATACATAAGCCGCCAGCTTTAGGGCAGTTCCGTGCTTATCCATTGCAGCAAGCCATTCCGAAGCCATCCTGCTTTGAGCAAAGTCTGCAGTGAGAATTCTTCCTCCTCAACACTCCCTCTCGTCCCCTACAGCCTTCATTTCAGGTGGGAGAACCGGTAATCCATGCTGTAGCAGCAAAGCAGAAATGACACTTCCCTGCACAGAGCAGATAAGGCCCATTCTCAGCCCCACCTCTGTGACATTGAGGTCGGGGAGCACGAATGAGCTAAGGCTGCTGCAGGCGCTGGCAAGGGACCGGCATCCTCCGCTGAGATCCTAACTTGCACTTGTCTGCTCAGCCCCGCCATGGTCATCGCCACTTACTGACTTGCAGGAATTCTGGAGAGCCAGGAGGCCATGGCTGCCGCTGCTTTCTGAAGATGGAACACCATAGCATCCTGGCTCCAACCTGCTCCCCAGCACAGAGCAGGTGCAAATAGTGTTCCAATGGGGCCCGACCGGAGCTGTGTGTGGATGGTTTCATGGTTAAAAGTCCTAGTAGTGTAAAAAGAGATCAGAGGCACCAGAGTGAGTTGCCTCCCTATTTGCTGCCTCTGCCTCCTTTTGTTCTCCCTGATTTTTGCTTGGAGGGTTTGCCTTCTGTCTACCTGAGCTTCTTTTGCAGGGCTCTTTCCTTAATTAAGCCAACAGGTATTCGTCCATAGAGGCAGCATCTTTTTTGGCAAGAGGGCCCGAGCAGAAGCAGAACCAGCCCCGGAAACAATCGAGAATGTTTTGTCAGACTGTGATTAAGTAGCTGTGATTAAAGAGTGAACAATTACTTGCCTAATAAACAAGTTCCTAAAATGTGCTTGCTCCTAGGCCTTAACCATGAAACCTACAAGGCCAGAAGGTTGACAGGATGGTTCACTTTGGAGAGAGGAAAAAACCAAAATAGCTTTCACTTGTGAAGGGAAACCAGGAGCTAGCAGATGACATCTAATAAGTAGCCACAGTTTCCAACTGATGCCTCATCTTCAAAGGTTGCCTCGGTCTCTGGCTAACTGGAGATCAGCATTTTGAACCCCTACCCACAGTGGCATCCATGAAACTCGCATACTTAACACACTCTGCAATGCCCGGAGAAATTCCTAGAATCCATTCTTCTCTCTCAAACTTAAAAAACAAAAAAGTTGGAACACAGTCAAATGAGAGAGAGTGATGTATTTGTTTTCATGCATTTTTTCTTTTTGACTTGGCGTCTCACTCCTTTGCTCAGGCTGGGGTGCAGTGGCATGTACGCTCACGGCCATCCCAGCGTCGACCTTCTGGGCTCCAGTGATCCTTCTGCCTCAGCCTTCTGAGTAGCTGGAAATACAGATGCATGCTACCATGCCTGGCTATTTTTAATTTTATTGTAGAGACAAGGTCTCACCAACTTGTCTGGGTTGGTCTTGAACCTGCAGGCTCAGGCAATCCACTTGCCTTGGCCTCCCAAAGTGCTGGGATTACAGGCTGAGCCACGAAGCCCGGCCTTTCATGCATTTTTAAAAAAGGGATGTACTTCCTAAGAGTGTTCATATTAACTGTGATTGGTAATCCATAACTGCAACACACCACCTGATGTGTTTCCTATCTGCAATTGCATTTTGCTATTCCCGGCCAACGTGTCCTCTTTTGCATTTTCTTAAATGATGGCCATCTTCTCCCAATTTAACATAATTTGCCATTCCCTCAAGGACTTAATAACATTCCAGAACATTGGCTCTTAAAAAAGCAGTGCCATCTAAATTGTTAGAATTGTGGCTATCAAAACCTTCCAAGGTATGCCCTGCTCTCGGGTTTGGCTGGGATGAAAGTTTGACAGCACATTTGGCACTGTAAGTTTGAAGGCAAATCCCAAGGAAACAAACCATTAAAAAGTGTGGGTATGGTTTAGTGTCCTCAACACACTTAATCCAAACTGGAGAACTTTCACACCCCTTGCCCTCTGCCTCCTTTATGAGCTACAGAAAACATTCAGGCTCAGAGTTAGGGATACCCAGGTTTGAATCATGGTTCTTCATTGGCCTTGGGCAAGCCCTTAACCTCCTTCCCAACGATCAGATTTGTATTTCTAAAATAGGTGTATCAGAGTTGCTAGAAGGTCTAGAAATGATGAGTGCAAATTGCTCTGCACATGCCTGGCACACAGTAGGACCTAACGGAAAAAGCCTTACGAAAATATTTATTTATCCAGTTACTACTCTCTACTATGGATGGGTCAGTCCAAGCAGGTGATGAAAGAGTGAGAAGCCTATTTGGAGAGTGCTGGATAACCCAAGTGATTACAAGCAGAAGCTCTCTTAGATGAGACAGGAAGGAGGCAAAGAGAAGAAAACTGTGATGAGTAAAATGCTTTTCTGAATTCCTTGGAATAGTCTGGGAAAATTTTGAATAATGATATTCAAGATCTCTCACAATGCATGCAATTTGAATTGCAGAATAAATTCAAATTTCCCCTATCCCGTAATATCACGTTGATTTTTGTGATGTTTAGACCATCCCAAAGCAACTGCTTTTTATAACACATTAGAGAAGACATCTTAACCGCTGCCACTCTGGGTAAATTCCTCAAACTCCAAATAGAAGCAGTAAACATGTGAATATAAATATGACAATCATTTGCTTAGCTGCAACAATTTTAGATAGTTTTTGGCATGGTTAAAGATACAGAAATTATTTATTTATTTTTATTTTTTTTGGGTCAGAATCTTACTTTGTCGCCCAGGCTGGAGTGCAGCGGCACGATCATGGTTCACCACAGGCTCAATCTGTCAGGCTCAGGAGATCCTCCCGTTTCAGCCTCTTGAGCAGCGAGGACCACTGGTGTGCACCACCACGCCTGGATAATTTTTAAGTTTTTTTGTAGAGACAAAGTCCAGCTGTGTTGCCCAGGCAGGTCTCGAACTCCTGGGCTCAAGCAATCCTCCCTTCTTGGTGTCTCAAAGTGTTGGGATTTCAGGCATGAGCCCCGTCCCCGGCCAAAGGCATAGAAATTTTTGAGGATGAGTAAAAAGTAACTCATATATTGATTATCCCACTTTAACTAAGTTTTGGGTTACCAATTTCTTGTAAAATTGGTGTGTGTATGCCCAATACCATGCTATGGGAAAAGAAAGAAATGTTAAAAGTTTGACTCCCTGGAGAGAGAGGGCTGGAGAAGAGTATGGCACACAATTATTTACGGATAGTTTTAGATGGATACAATTGTCATGGTTTTTTATCTGATGACCCAAAGATTTTCTAGTTGTTTATTTTGATTAGATGCTAGCTTTCCCATATCCAAAATTTAAATTTGTCTGTAAAGATTTTTTTTTTCTTTTTTTGTAGAGATGAGATCTTGCTATGTTGCCCAGGCTGGTTTTGAACTCCTGAGCTTAAGCAATCCACCTGCCTTGGTATCTCAATGTGTTGGGATTACAGGCATGAGCCATAGCATCTGGCCTGGAAAGGTGCTTAAAGATCCTCTTGAACATGGAACCGTATTTTGCTGAAGAAAGTCGGTCACCATTCTTCCCATGGGGAGGTTTTTCCTGTAAGGGGTACCTGGGGCAAAGAGTGATTTTCTTATTCAGATCCTGGAAGAAGCTCTTCTTAACAACAAAACTTATCTGCTTCGAAGAGGAACAGCGGGGTCTGCATATTCAAGTTCTTCCTGGATGCCTGCCTCTATAATAGGATACTTACATCTAGCAAAGCTGTTATGGGACATGCCAGAGAGACCAGAAAGGTCTAAAAACCAGGCCAACATCTTAAGTGCCTGAGTCTGGGTTCTGAACACAAGGCTCAGTGTCTCTATGGCTGATGAGAAGACACTCTTCAGAAAGAGGCTGAGCAAGTAAGTCATATTTCAGGTCCAAATACAACCAATAAAACCCCAATCCACATTGCAAATATGCCCTCCTTTGCAATGTGGAAAGGGATTTGCCTGTTAGAAGAATTTAAGGAAGTTATCATTTTGTCGCAAAGGAAGAAGAGAGTGGTGTTGAGGTCAATACCCTTACTGTGAAAATTATTTAACAGCTACCACCTGCTTTGATATCCTTTCTTTTTTGTTTGAAAGCAGGATTTATTGAGAGGACAGAAAAGTTCCCACAGTGAGAGGGGACCCGAGAGGGTTGCCCATGCTTTGATATTCTTATAGAGAAATGACCCAAATAGAGGGAATGATCAGTAGTTTTAGACTAGTGGTTCTTGTCAAGAATGATTCCAAAAACATAGATCCCATTTTAAATTCTTACCGTGGAATGACAGGCATATTTTAATTTTTACATATAGCTACCATCGTCATCATTAGCAATGGGCAGATTGAGGACCCCTAATCCGGAAATCCCAAAGCTGAAATGTGTCAAAATTCTAAACTGTTTGAGCACCGACATGACAGCACAGTGGAACATTCCACACCTGACCTCATGTCCACAGCTCATAGTCAAAAGCAGGCAAAGTTTTGTTTCATGCGCAAAATTATTAAAAATAATGCATAAAGTTACCTTCAGATGATGTGTATGTGGTGTATATGAAACATAAATAAATTTTGTGTCCAGACTTGGGTCCCATCCCCAAGATAACTTATTAGGTATATGCAAATATTCCAAAATTTAAAAACGTCCAAAATCCAAAATACTTCCTGGGTCCCAAGCATTTCAGATAAGAGAGACTCAACTTGTACTGAGTTATTAAGGTTTACCAAAATTTGGTATACATAGGGAAAAAAAATAGCATATTCCCCAAGTTCCTGCAGAAAGTAGGAACAGAAGAAGTTGAGTGGACTAGTGGATAGTTTTCCAGAATAAATGGGCTTCTGTCAAATAATGTCTGCAAATTCATGCTTTAGACAGTTCTTTGGTGATCTGTCCGTATCTATCCAAAGCTAAGCATCAGTATTTTTCAAAGTTCGAGAAGGATATACTTAGATCATTCCAACATGCCACAGGTGAAGCTCATCCATTATGCAATAGTGGAACAGATAGAAAGAAGTGGAAGTCAATATTTTGCTTTTCAAAATATTATACACTCTGGATTTTCACAATGGAGTTCTGGAAAAGGTAAGTGATTTGCCAAGAAAGGCTTTTCTAGGTTATGTCAAAATGGCTGAGTAAGTGGGCAGCAAGAAATTAACAGCCACCCCACCCCCACCTCTTGATCTTGAAATAAGTTTCACAGGAAGCCTTCTTTCATCTGACCTTGGAACTGTTTAATGGATTTTTGTCCCTAGTAGTTAAATTGAAAAAAATGACCTTCATGCCTACCGTCTTCTCTTGAGAAAAGCCATACGCTCCCTGACTGGTTCTTCCGATACTCTCCAGACTCAAGAGTGGAGAATGTTACTTTCTGAGACATGATGAGCACCCCTCGCTCTCTGTTTAGAAAGCGAGGAGCAGTATCCAATCAAAGTGCAGCGAAAGGCACATTTCGCTGTCAAGTTTTCCCAAGCGGAGAAACTGGATGTATCAGAAATGGCGGAGCTTTAAAACTTGCTCTAAAAATAATGTGCCTGGATCTCGGCCACCGTTTTAAGCCTCTTCCTCTCTAGGCCCTCTCCCCATAAATGTCAAATGTGGCTGTCAGTAGGTTGGGCCTGAAAATAAAATCCCCTCACTTCCATCAAGAAATAGCTCCAAACTTAGAGCGTGTGCTCAAAATATTCATGATGAAATCATAATCCTATATTTATCGTCTTCTGGACTGTGCATGAAATTCTGTTTCCCATGGTGGTTTTCATCGAAGCGGGCTCAGAGGATGACCGAGAGAGCATTAGCTGCAGGGAACAACTGTTCAGCCTCGCTCTGAACTGGTTGGTTGTGAGACAGCCTCCCTCTTCCCTACGCCCTCCCCACGGCCTGATGAGTTGGGTCTCCTCCCCATCGCCCTTTCTTAGATGGTCCCCTCGTCTGATGGTCCTGTCTTGTCCTCCAGGAAGAGGGAGCGGGCTTTTTGAGTAGGAAGTGGGGTGGGTACCTAAGATCATTCCCCCTTCCTTTGCACCTCTCCTGTCCTAGACTTCCTCCCCGTTTTCACTGAGGGAGATGGTGTGGACCTTAATGGTTGGAACCTGTTGGTTCTCTCCAAGGCTAGGGGTTGAGGGAACCACACAGCAGCAGACCTGCAAAAAGCTTTTACTCCTCACCCGGGCTGTGGTGCAGGCTGACTGGTCTTTGGACACTGTAATCCGGGCAGATCCACGGGGCATGGAAGAGAAAAATTTCCATTCACAGACCCCATCCGTCTTGGAGATCTTATAGAAGGTCTCGCCCGAGCCTACGGGAATGCGCACCATGTCCTTTTGCTGTCCCTCCAGGGCGTGGCTGGGGGCATGCAGCGTGTAGCCCAGGGCGTATTTGGAAGACTGCTTTCTGCGGAGACACTGGATTCTCAAGACATTCTGAAAGGCCTTTTTGAACTCTTGACTGGAGCAAGGGTATATGATGGGATTGATGCAGCTGTTTAGATATCCGAGCCAAAATACTATTTTAAAAACTGTTTCCGAGGGCTTGAAATCAGGGAAGAAAGACCCTGGAAGAAAACACAGAGATTCATTCATATTATTTGCAGGCCAACAGATAAATCGGTGAGGAGAGCAATCAAACAAGCATCTTTTTAATAAATCATTAAAGAATTTCAAATGATGGCAAACGCATTCAAGCCTCTCACATTGGACTGACTAGCTCTTGTGAATGTAGCTAACCCCTTTGATATAGTCTCAAAGGCTATTCTTACCAGGTCCCTGTGTGTGCCAACAGTTATGGGAGCAGGCAATGGACAGAGCTGCATTGGCTCTCGGGGATAGAATATCATTTGGTGGCTGTTGTGAAATTTTAAAAAATGAAAACCTGAAATTTAGATGGAGTCTACATATGCAAATTGTTTTGCCTGAATTTAAAAATAAGTTGAAATCCATTCAAATATTCCATATTAAAATTCAGTTACCTGAATATACCCTTTATTATTTGATGCAGCTGCAGGCTCCATGAACTCTTCTCCTCCTGAATAGTAGAATTGCGTATTTTGATGAGAATTTCAAATTTACACACTAATGGCTTTGTCACTTTTGGTCAGTGGTTTGCAACCATTTTTTTTGAGTTGGAGTGTAGTGGCCTGCTCACGGCCACCCCAGTATCGACCTGCTGGACTCAGATGATCCTTCTGCTTCAGCCTAAGTAGCCAGAACTACAGGAGCGTGCTACCACACCCGGATAAGTGTTTTGATTTATTGTAGAGATGAAGTCTCGCCAAGTTGCCCAGGCTGTTCTCGAACCCGTGGGCTCAGGCAATTCCCTCATCTCGGCCTCCCAAAGTGCTGGATTGCAGGCTTGCAGACTTGAGCACCATGCCCAGTCAATGGTGCCTTTTAACGTTACAGTTCATTCCCTCCTTGACACCCCCCAAGGGCTCCCACATATTTGTTAATTGCTTGACATACAGGGTCCTCCACAGTCCCTGGCCTGGTCAACTTTCTATCGTTATTGCTTACTATTCTTTTACTCTGACCAGACCCACTCTACATTTCCTCCAGCTCACCGGTCATTACTTAGTCCTCTCAAGTTGGGCCACGGTGTCTTCAATGACCTTTCCCGTCCTCCCTACCTATCCAAACCCTGCCCATTGATTTACCCGACAGGAATCAGGCCTGAAGTCTCCTCACATCCTGCACAGTGACTGCCACAGTGCTCATGGCAGCAGCAGAGCCTCAAAGTGAGAACCATCTTGGAAATTAATTTATCCAATTTCTTAATTTCCAAATTAAAAAAAAAATCCTTATCAGTCTTTCCTCAGCTGCTGCCGAGGTGCTCGGTCCTCCTTAGGAAGCTGAGGTGTTGGGGGTGAGGCCCTCACTTCCTCTGGTGACTAGCACCATGCCTGACAGCAATAACCTTGCACGCACTTGGGCCATGGCCTGCGTCTTCAAGCTTGCCTGTATCTACTGGGTCCTTATTCTGCACAACAATGAGGTGACGTCAGGGGGACAAGATCAATGTCCTCATGAAGGCAGCTGGTGTAAATGCTGAACCTCTTTGGCCTGGAGCCTCACCTTCAAGGTAGGGGCTGGTGGGTCCAGCTCCAGCAGGAGGGCCTGCTCTTCCAACACGACTGCCCCAACTGAGGAGAAGGAAGCAGGAGCCAATAAAGAAAGAGAAAGGAGAATCTGAGAAGTCTGATGATGGCATGGGCTTTGGACTTTTTGACCAAACCTGCATGATAACATGTTCAATTAAAAGCAGAACTCTTGGCCGGGCTCGGTGGCTCAGTCTGTCATCCCAGCACTTTGGGAGGCCGAGGCGAGTGGATTGCCTGAGTCCACGGGTTCGAGACCCGCCTGGGCAACTTGGCAAGCCCTCATCTCTACAATAAATCAAAAAATTACCCGGGCATGGTAGCGCACCTGTCGTTTCAGCTACCTGGAAGGCTCAGGTGGAAGGATCACTGAAGCCCAGCAGGTCGAGGCTTGGCCACTGCACTCCAGTCTGGGTGACAGAGTGAGACTCCAACTCAAACAAAAAGGCTGAACTCTTAAAAAATGCTTATTAAGGAGACTGTCACAAACTTGGTAGCTATCATAGTGCCAGAGTTACGGATGAAGGGAAACAGAACTCCCAGTCCGGTGTTCCTTAGTCGCTAATCCTCAGACTTGCAGGAGGGCTTTATGAATCATGAAACCCCAAATGCCTCACTTTGCTCCTTTCAGAGAGGCTGCAAAATAACAGCTGGGCTCTCCTTTCAGTCACCTTTCTTTCCTTTCTTCACTCCCAATCTTCTATTCCTTCCCCACTGGTTTTTAGTCACAGCTTCATGTATATTTTGTGAAGTGGCTTTGGGGCAGTCCTATTACCCACTGGGTCTCGGTTTTCTTATCGGAAAAAGGAGTGGGTTGAATGGATAATTTCCAGTGGCCTCCCACACAACTTTTTTCCCTCTGTATCAGTCTACAGTCTTGATTTTATGTCTTTTTCTTTCTTTCTGCTTTATGGACCTATCAGAGTCATGACAAGCTGCTGGTACTTTTAAAATCTGCTGCCAAACAGTGCTTTGAAATTTAGTAGAAGATCTCAGAGATTATAAACAAAGAGTAAACAAAGAAGACAAAAATGGTGTGGTGGTTCATAGGAACATTTATTAACCCTGAAACACTCCCTGCTAAGTTTCGTGTGTCTCAGATAAACTCACATATACACATAGACACGCACAGAGAGATGATGGATGTTTATTTAGAAAAATAAGTGACGAAATTTTAACTTTTAGCTCAAATGCTTTTAACATTGCCCTGTAATTATAACACCTACAGTCTTTGTTGCCTGATTTGAGCCAAGTTGAGCCAAGTTCTGTGTTAAATAAACACTTTGCAGACAATTTAATCATTCTCAGTAACATGAAGAGTTATATGACCCCTGTTAATATCTCCATTTTTTTTTTTTGAATCACGGTCTCTGTTGCCCAGGCTAGAGTGTAGTGCCACAATCATGGCTCATGCAGTCTTAACCTCCTGAGCTCAGGCACTTACTCCAGAGTAGCTGGGACTGCAGGCACTTACCACCATGCCCGGCTAATTTTTTGAGTTTTTTTTTTTTTTTTTTAACAGAGACGCGATCTCGCCATGCTGCCCAAGCTGATCTCAGACTCCCGGGCTCAAGCCATCCTCTGGACTCAGCCTTCCAGAGTGGTGGGATGACAGGCTTGAGCCTCTGTGCCCAGACAATATCTCCTTTTTAGTAATAAAGAAACCGTGGCTTAATGAAAGTGAATAATTCAACAAGGGTCACTCAGTTACTGGTAGAGCTGGGATTTGAAATTAGGCAGTCTGGTTTCAGGGCCTATGTTCCTTTACGGAATCTCCAAATATGTTGGGATAATACATCTCTTGGGAAAGAGGACGGCATATGAGAGGATGAAGTGGCAGCTGAGGCAAGCCAAATTGGAAGGATGCTTTTTCGATCCTCATCTGAGAGGTGGAGAAAACAGCGAATGCCGAGATGACTGGTGGTTTTGTGCAAATGGGGTCAGTTTCAGGAAAAAAAAAAAACTTCCTACATTATGATGCTCATACATTGTCCAATATTTCTTCCTAACGGTGACAGCGAGGTGATTAAGGCAGCCTGTTTCAGAGGCCTGCCTGGGCCTGGGCTTAATGCCTGCAACAATGCATGAGCTAGGCCCGCCCAAACCACCTTGTCTGTGAATGTCACTACTCCGTAAATCAGCTAGAGAGGGAGGGGAGTGTATTTTCCTCACTTGAAGAATTTCAAGTTAAAAAATAAAAGGAAAAAATATGAGAGCTATGAATGTGAATGCTAATAAAATGATTTGAGAGCCTTGGAATTTCCCATATTTCCTTCAAGGACATTCATTCTGCTTACAGAGCCTCGTAAATCTCAACATTTCCTTTTAGTCACCTCCTTCCATCCCTTCTTTCAGCACTTGGGCCTCCCTTGATTCCGGATCTGGCTGAGCCAAAGCCGAGCTCTTGGGCAGTCTCTCCAGTGTCTGTGCGGTGTTCACGCCTTCACAGGTAAATACTGGCTTCCCTCTCTCTGTGCCCACTCAAAACGCCCATTTCTTCACTGTGGCTCAGGGTGAGAAAGGGAGTTGGTTAAAACTAATTTACATTAATGCCCCAGGGATTGTTTTCCCCCCTGTGGTTAATCCAAGCAAATCTCTAGTTGTGGGCTTTTCAGACAGGCTAAAGACCTTTCTGTGAACAACCACATTTGTTCATGCCATTAGGTATGCGACAGCACCCAGATGTGTCTAAGCCTAGCACAGATTTGCCCTCTCCCAAACTGAGGATTCTGCCAGGGGCAGGTCACAGGATTCATTTCTCCTGCTTGGAGTATTCTTCTTCTCTTGGGGAAAGCCATGTCATTTCTTTGATTAGTTGCTGGCTGACTGGGGCAAGGAGACTCACGGTTGTACTTCCTTCAGGAACTTTCCAAAAGGTGAGAAAAGAAAGACAGCAAAGGGCTGTTCCCTTTATTATTTTCATTATTCACATTCTTAGATCTCTTTCTTCACTTCATTCTCTCTCTTCCTGGGAGGGAGGGTTGGAGCTGGAATCAGGCTTGGAGAAGAGTTGCCTGGTCCCAACTAAGGTTCCCGTCTCCTGCTCTCTCCTTCTCTGCCCAGACCTTCTCACTTGGGCACCCTCTTCTCTGAACTCCCCACAAGTTCGATTTCCCAACTCCATTTCTTTTCAGATCCCTTTCTTGTTGATGACTGAGGATGCTTTCCAGGATGGGGGAAAAGATGGAGAATGCATCTCCAGGTCTCCACCTATCACGACTCAAGCAGCCATGCTTGGGGGTGGACACCTCCAACCCGGTCACAGGTTGTTAACTCCATCTGAGCAGGCATCATGGCAGCCAGGCTCACTCGTGAGCTCCCGAACCCAGTGTAATGCTAGATTATTGAAGGAAATATCCTAGTTTTCGTGGACTGAATGACCAAGCTCCTGACTGAGTGATGGATTGAATGAATGAATGAATGAATGAATGAGTCTTCTTGTCTACCCTGTGGTTCTACCT